AAAATTATATATATATATACATATATATATATATATATAATTACATATAATTACATAATATTATTTATTATTACTTATAACTATTATTACTACTTACTATCATTTATTATACTTATTAATAATAGGGGACAGTTGATACATTAAACTTTTTTAATAAATTTTTTACACGTAACTAATAAATAGAATATAAATATTCTAATATTTCCATTCTTCTCCCTATCCTGTATATATTGTATATAATTATATATAGTTAATAATACGTAATCATATATCAATAATATACATGAATTATGTAGACTATGTATAGTACAATTGCGTTCTCTCTCTCTCTCTCTCTCTCTCTCTCTCTCTCTCTCTCTCTCTCTCTCTCTCTCTCTCCTTTATGTAATTTGTAATATAGGTTACTTACACTTTACAAGATTTTGTCAGTATTCGTTAACAAAGTTGTCGGTATAGCGTTATCACGTATGGAGGTTCTCGTTACGAATAACGATACTTGTCGTTCCTAAACGATATATATTGTTCATGAACGACAAATATTTGTCGTTAGCGGTGATACAGAATCGCATTTACTGACATTTGTCGACCGATACTACTAATGACAACTGTCAGTAGGCGTGTACAGAATACGGCCCCTGAATATATAAAATTTCTTACAATAAGAAAAGTTAGAGAAAGGGATAGTAGTCTTATATTATTTAAATATATGTGGGTATGCTATGTCAGATGATCCTAGTATTAAGGGAATTAAGAAGTTTCCAAAACCTCCATTCACCATTTTTGACTGTTTGCATCATTCACGATTTTCGAAAAATCTATCCGGTTTGAGACGATCGATTTTCACTTCCTTCTTTGGGATACATTTGGTCACGTTTACCCCGATCATGGGAACCAGTACCATTAACGAAGAAGAAGAAGAATAACGTGTTTTGTGATAATTTATACAAATTTTATTGCAATGGCTTCGCTTTGAATAATACGAGTAAATATATAAATATATAATAAAAACGTAAATATTAAATTAATAGATATAGTTTAACATTTAATATGCATTCGATATTAGAGATTTATGTTTCTAACCTAAAACTCGCTGTAAAGCTGATTCTACAATGAGTCAGTAATCGGAAATCATAAATTGATTGAACTTATTACAAGTTGGATATATGAATTTTCAGCGTCAGACGAAGGCTATGGGTCTGCGCACAATATATCAAATATTAGGAACAGGAATAAATATTAAAATTTCAACCTATCAGATACCAGTTATATCGGAATATACGGTTTCTGATAGGTTGAAATCTTAATATTTATTCCTATTGCTAATATTTCCTCCATTGTGCGCAGGGCCTATGGCCGGCTACGGTCCACTTGATGCTACGAATGCTTCAAAGCATTTTTTGAATGATCAGATAAAATTCCTTTTTCCGATTGGTCAAGTAAAAATTTCGAAGCATTTGTAGCATCAAGTAGATCACACCCAAAATCAGATACTAGCGAAAAATTAATTAACAAAATTAATGCCATGTGATCACACACACGCTACTTTTTAACGTCTCATGAAAGCACTAAGCCAATTACACCAACTGGCCCCAACAAATATGTCGGGGTCATTTTGTGTACGCTTGTGCAGTGTACAGAATCCAGACGAAGATGTGACACTGGCGAGGAACTGCACTATTCAACCAGCCGAACACACCAGTTGCACCCGAAATGTGCAGTCGGTGCATCCCACCCAAAATTACTATAAGTGCAAAAACGAAATGAAAATTATCAAAACATGTTTCATTAACAAAATATATTGAGGATTGTACGATTTAATTTTAATACATTTTTTTCGGCAATTGTGTATAACAGTTTCATGTGTACTAGTGCATCCCAGCCGAAATCGCTATTCATTATACAACGATCTTTATATGCACCAGTGCACACTAATGCATTCCAGTCGAAATCGCCATTAATAATAGCAAATTATATCAATTGTCGATAATATCAGTGTTCTTCAATTATCTCCGAGCCCTTAAGGCCCTTTTTATACCGCCGAAAATTTGTCCAGGATTGACGGTCTTCACTATCTCGTGGCATTACCCAAGGTGCCCAACCGACAGCTAAAACCTCTTAAATGTTGTTTAGAATCATGATGTGGACATTTATCAAGATCAAGATCATTGGAGATTGTTCCTCATATTTTCATTTTTGCATTAAAAATTACATTTCCACGTAAAAATTGAAATAAAAAGTACAACTTGTAGTGGCTTTGATCTTGACAAATGTTATCCAAGTTATGATCCTGAATGAAAACATTCAAGAAGTTTTAACCGACGGTTGGATACCTTGGATAATGTTAATGCCGGCGGTATTGTACCTTTGAAACCTTAAACTTAAAAAGTACTTAATGAAAAATATTTCATTGTTGTGTTTTGGAAACGGTGTTCTAGAGACAAGCTACTAGAATATTCAATGAAATATATTGGAATTCCATTTAAGAAATTGATGACCTTCAAACAACTTTCCGAGGTCAATAGCATCATCTTGTGTCCCTCTTCAAACTGTACAACTTTTGCCTGAAACATTTTTCCCTAAAATACATATTCAAGAGATAATTTAGTGCGTCTTTTAAAACATTTTGTGTGTGTGTGTGTGTGTGTGTGTGTGTGCGCGCGTGCGTGCGCGCGTGTGTGTATATTAGAAGTAATTTATTATGAGTTTCTTTTTTGAATTTGATCGATTATATTTGAACATTGTAATCATGGAAGAGAATAAAAATTTCTTCTACTATAATTGTAATAATTTATAATAATGCGTAATAATTTATAAAAATTAATTTACACTTACAGAAAAAAGGATTAGACTTTTTTCTGATATACTTATATGAACTTATTAAAATAAAATTATCAATTGAGACTAGACTGCAAATGATTGATATTTGCTGGCAAATCCATTAACCAAGAAGGAACTGCTATTACCATTTTGAATTGTTTCATAATAATTCGGAAGAATTGTCTTCTTTTGTTTCTCTATTCTTTGATCATACTTAGCCTTATTGTAACATAATACTCCTAATATGGCCATAGTCATACCAAATATGTTAACCCATGTAACTGGGTTGCCAAGTACGAATAATGTCACTCCTATTACAAATATACGTTTGCTAGCACTCGCTACCGCATATGTCAGAGGCGTCACAATAGATAGCACGGAAAATGCAATAATATTTTGAAACCAATTAAGTATACCATCTAGAAATAATAGTCCTAATACATAATAGCTTAAATCTACGGACGGTTTTAACATCGGTTCGTACATCAAATTATATAAATCATACACAATCCAAATTGGTGAAAACATAAATAGAGCTAGACGACCAAGTATGTGCAGCAGCCGCAAGTGATGTACGCCAGTGTCATGTAACACCTGTAGATCGAAAATTACAAGATTAAAAACAGAAATAAATATATGGTAAATAAGAAATAATTTTTTTTCATTGCATTATACCTTTTTTGAATAAATATTTTGCAAGGAAAACGCCATAGTGGACGCTAAGGCGCTTATCAAGCCAATCATGTTGAAACTAAGTTCTGTTAGTGTCGCTACAGCTACGCCGCCAACTATCGGTACAAGGCTCAAGTATACCTTCCATGTTTGCTGCTCCCGAAGTATTATTCTTGACAGAGCCACCGTAAAAAGAGGCATTGTAGCCTTCACTGGGACAGAGCCAAATTTCAGTTAATATATAATTAAAAAACAAAACCTAAAAAAAGAGTAGAATAAAAAAAAAGACAAAGAAAAATAAAAATATGAAGAGAACAGACGGAATAAAAATATGAAGAGAACAGACGGAAGAAAAATGGAGGAAGAGGGAAAAGCATGGTGGAAGAACAATATGGTGGGTTTATGCAGTTACATGTGCAGATGTCGTTCATTCTACCTGCAAAGGCGACTGCAGTGCAGTTTGTCATTCGTTTACGCAGGGATGTATGCCATCTGCGCTGCTATCTCGGAGGTCCTGCTCTGCTCGCAGTACTGCATCACAGTATAAAAATATACAGTAAGGACAAGACCCCGGTTTCTATTTAGCCGCGCATATTTGCTTGTATCATTAGCGGCCATGTTTTTGGTGGCACCAATCCCGATCAAAGCAAAGAATCCGCAGTTTCTCAGTTTCTCACTGCAATCGCGCCATGACATATCGCTGCGCTTGCTTAGCGAGGAGATACTGCCATGTCTCCTGAATAACTGATTACAGCAATTAATTTTATGAAGCAATGTGACTGTGCGTGGATGTATCTAACTGATCATCGATTTGATGGAAGATGAAAAGTTAAGATTTTTTATCTCCTTTTATTGTTGAGTATAGGCGATGGTTCCTAATACTATTGATACAGTATTTAGTCACCAAAGACATCTGAAAAATGAGGCAGTCTCTGAAAACTCGTCTGAAAAAGATCAAAGGTGCTGACGCTGTTTGTCCTCCCTATTGTATATCCTTATACTGTGACTGCGTAAACGAATGACAAATCGTGCTGCAGTCGGCTTCGCAGATTGAATATCTTGCTGTTCATAATACCGCCAGCTATAATAGCCGATTGTATTACCAAAAATGAATTTTATTAAAATATAACAAATAAAAAGAGTTAAGAACAACTTGTCAAAATCACTTGTTCCATTCTTCGGAAGAACAGTTATGTTTGGCCAATTTTATAACTATGGATATTATTAAATTTATTTAATAATTATAATATTTATTTATAAATTTATTTAATAGTTATTAAATTTATTTAATAACATCCATAGTTATAAAATTGGCCAAACATAACTGTTCCTCCGAAGAATGGAACAAGTGATTTTGACAAGTTGTTCTTAAGCGTACCGTGTAAATGTAGTCACTATACTTAAGATAGTTTTAAAATAAAAACGGGCTATAAATACCGTTCCATATTTAACGCGGCGTTAAGGTTAGACAGAGATATATTTCTCTCTCTGTTATCGATTTTGAAAATTACTACTTTGCATACAAAAGTCGGCTCAAATCATCTCGTGTCGCGATTCTAATTAGAGCATCTCTAGGGCCAAGCGAGTGCGTCCTTTTCTAAATAAGCACTATCTCCACTCCTCAAATTTCTAACAATGCTCGTTTTTAGAGATACTAGAAGTTTGCGTTGCATGCTCTAAATTAACTCAGAGAGCACTTGGATCACAGGTAAGATGGCGATTAGAGCAGTTGCATTTATGTGCTCCAATGTTCAGTGAACGTTTTTGATATAAATATAAAAATAAAATATATAATAATATAATATAATATAATATAATATAAAAATATAACTTTTATATTTTATACTAATAACGAGTCCGACTCGTTCGAGTGATCTCACAGATTAGGTTAGGTGACATGCTCACTTGTCCTAAATCCGTTCGTGTCACTGAACATTAGAGCATTAGAGCAAACATGAATGCAACGGCATGCTCTAACCATCACCTTATCTATGATCCAAGTGCTCTCGGGGTTAATTTGGAGCATGCGCCGCGAACAAACCTCTACTATATCTATAGTTATTTCTCATTTCATGTGACCGCACCCTTAGCACAGTATAGGTAAGAAAAGTAGTTTCATTTTGTGTCGGCACTTTTGACGCAACAATCGTCATGTGTTAATTGTGCATGAGCCCCTATAAGAGCGAAAAATCTTAGGGAATAGGGAAACTGAAGAAGCTTGCAATTGCGCACAAGCCAATCACACAGCGCTAGAAAAATAAATAAATAAATAAATAAATAAACTCTCTAGACAGAAGTCGCTGTGACTGGCAATTGCTACAGTGTGCAATTTAACCGCTCTCGGAAAACTGATTGATGCGCCATGTTATTAATTGTGCAAAACGGTTGCCACCATTTTTGGCTGAGTAAACTTACTGTTCTTACTTGTACCCTTAGTGAGTGATCAAATGACAAAGAGATTAATGTAACACCAGTCATAGATTAAATCAAAACAATTTTGATTTTCTTGATTCTCATTAGATCTATTCTTTTTGGCTAAACTTTTGCACCAGTTCATCTCTGTTCTTCTTCTTTCTTCCTGAAGAGAAAAGAAAGAAAGATGAACTGCAAATGTTCAGCTAAAAAGAACAGGCCTATTATAACGATATCATCTATTTTTATTTTTTACTTTAAGCACTTGACTATGACTACATTTACACCGCTTAAGTTCACGTCTCACTGTTAAAATTTTGTGTGCGGCAGCCCTTAGTACGTGTATCAAGAGCTCGGTATAAACAAAATTAGTATTCAAACTATTAAATGTTTGTTTTCATAGACTACATTTACTCGGCACGTTTAATCGGGTATAATAACATCCATAATTATAAAACTGGCCAATCATATTCTTCTGAAGAACAGCTATTATTGGCCAATTTCATAACTATGAATCTTATTAAACCCAATTAAGCGTGCCATGTAAATATAGTCTATAAAAACAAGCATTTAATAGTTTGTTTACATCAATCTCTTAATACACGCACTAAGGGCTGTCGCACACAAAATTCCGCAACAGTGACCGTAAGACGTAAACTTAAACCGATGAGCCAATGAGGATATTACTTTAAATCTACGTAATCTAACGGAAATGAAAATAACAGTAAACTTATCCATAACCTCGCAATAAGGCGAATTTCAACCAATTGAAACTCGCCTTATGGATAAGTTTCCTGTTATTTCTATTTCCATTAGAATACATAGATCTAAAGTAGTATCCTGATTGGCTCTCATCGGCTTAAGTTTACGTCTTAAGATTACTGTTATACCTACCAGCGCGATGTTTGTCGCACGCGACACGAGATATCCAATGAATGTACAACTTTATTGATATTTTCATTCTAAAGGTATACTCTCATTGAATATCGCTTATCGCGCGGGACGAACATCGCGCTGGTGTGTCGGAACCATTACAAAAATTTTGTCTACAGCGACCCTGATATTCATGTGTCGTACAACAAAGCTTTTCAAGCCTGTTGATTGGCTGTAAGGTAGGACAGAGAAATCCAAAAACCTTTCTATTCTACACCCAATCAATAACCACATTTATATGGTATCCTTAATTGGTATCCTAAATTATTATAACTCTATGAGAAGAAAATAATCAATTTTTGTCTCTTGCTCTTTTCCTGTAAAGTTAATAGTATATTTGCGAAAAAAATTATTGAAAATTAATATTTGATAATTTTTAATAATTAACATCTTATTAACTATTGTGAAAATTGCAAAATAGTAGAGGACATGTATATGTTGCACAATTTACATAAACCAATAATTAAATTAAAACGACTTTCTATACAATCTATGCACTACATGTAAGGGTATATCCACACAAACTTGCGTATGCATAAACGTATGCATAAAGAAAATTATTCAATTATATCTTGGAGCTTATTATAGTTCTTTAGACAAAATGAAAATTACAATAAGTCCCCTTATATTCATCTTTATAAAAGAAATATAACGTATTCAGAGAGCTAATTCAGAACTAGTTTAGAATGTTTCAGAAAAGAACAAATCTATAGTCATATAAATCTCGTATGATACGAGACAATTATCTAATGTATTTATATATAGACTCTTATTTGTCACTTCATTGTTTTATGTTGAATTGTAAAGTTTTAAATATTTCAACTTTGTATTTTTAATTTGAACTGATGAAGATATAAGCTGGAATGTATTATCAAATGTTATATATGCTATTTTATTAAATAACTTTTTTTAACTAATTAAATATTTCAGTTTGCTCATTTATTGGTTGTTATATTAAGATACATTGTTTTGCTATACAAATAATCAAGCTTATACTTATTTGTTATAAAACAGAAATGTCACTGTAGAACTTTGTCTAAAAAATCACTTATATAGGAATGTTAAGCTATAGTGCCATATCAAAGAATTATAATATTTATACAGAAATTCATGTATGACATATATATGATGTAACATATATACATATATAAATGAATGCATACAAGCATATGATAGATACATATGTCATACTAGCTAGAACTGCTAAAAGTCAATAATAATTAGTGATAAGATTATGAAATTTTGAGCTCGGGTACACACAAGTTTTTACGCTCTGTCTATCCATGTGATGATTGATTGTCAAAGTGTCTTTGGCTGCGTTCAGCAGAGAAAATTAATCAGTTAGCGCTTAGTGATTTTAATATGATTAGTTTTTGATTTTAATTCTTTGTTAAATCTAAGTGTAGTAACCAATCGTTTTAAAGAATCCCTAAGCGCTAACTGATTAGTTTTCTTTGCTGAACGCAGCCTTTGTGTGTGTGTAAAGGAAAGGGAAAAATGTTTATGTGGTCAGGCTCGAAATCCCATCACTATCAAAAGTATGTATTTTGTATGCATACCAGTATGAGCATAAGAGACGGGTACTTTCCAAATGCTGACGTGGCTGAAAACTGTTGCGAGAAACTTGCCCAGAGCCAGAGGTATGATAAGCCGCAAATAGTAGCTCCATGTTATGTTAGATGAATATTTCCTTACACCCCACAAATTGAAAAACAGACCGGAATACACGGTGATCGAGGTTAATTGAACCATGGTTACCGTCAATGGATATGGAAATTTTGATAGCAGCATTTTGTCGACGACATTGCTGCTGCTGGATACCGCATACCACAGTAAACATAAAAACAATATCGTTATAACCACGCGATTATCTCGTCTATCGTCCATGATGTTCGCGCGAAAGCGCGGTCAAAACTCACGCCTATGCGTTTAATCCTCTAAATTGTTCTTTTTACATATAGGCGGTATATACATATATGCAGAGAAAAACCTGAGAGAGGACATGACAGCCCAAACCTGTAACCACAAAATGCTGTCGCGCACTACTGCCCTCTGACAATGTGGATGTAAACTACATAGCAATGTCTACTTTTTTAGGGTATGTACATTATATCAGAGAGCCTATAATAAAAAAGTCGCCAACTCACCACGTGATCCGAATCGTGCTCTGATTGGCTCGGGGCGCATGGACTCGAAAAGAGTTAGAGTGACAATGCTTAGTTAGTTTCCACCGAGGGTTTAAGAACCAACTACAGTCGAGTATTTCCCTGTTACAGTCGAATGGCAGGGGAACTGTAGTTTGTTCTTACATTCTGATCCGATTTAAATTCTCGATGGAAATTAGACCAGTGACAGGAAGATAAAAGCCGCAGCTTGTGTCACTATCATTCTAACCTTTTCTGAGCACTATACGCCCCAAACCAATCAGCGCGATTCGGATCACATGGTGAGTTGGCGACTCTCTTATTATAGGCTCTCTAGGGTACATCATCCACTTTTCAAGGCTGGAGATGATAAATCGATATTTGATTTATATAATCGTGCTACATGTAGGTTGAATCGTGTTAAGCCGGGAGCACATAAAAAAACGTAAGACCGTAAGACGTAATCAGTAAGGATATCGTATTGAATTCGCTACTAGCCTTATAGTATATCTACACAAATTTGCATAGCCACATAAACGTATGCATAAAGAAAATTATCCAATCACATTTTACGTGCGCCTTCATAGGAGAAATGCGATTGGATAATTTTCTTTATGCATACGTTTATGCGGCTATGCAAGTTTGTGTGGATATACCCTTACGGTCTTTACCGTGATTGGGTAATTCGCTCACTAATTATGTCTTACGGCCTTACGTTTTATATGTGCCATGGGCTTTATATATTTCTATCGCTATCGCTATTCTGCCGCATTGTGTCTGGGGCTTTAGGTCCTGCGCACAATAAAAGGAATAAGGAATTAGGAATAAACGATTTCAATCTCTCAGAAATCGGATACATCGGAGTATACGGTTTCTTCTGATAGATTAAAATCATTATTCCTTATTCATGCTATTGTGCACAGCCACTTAACCATCAATTTAGCGTTTATCGAAGTTGATGAAAAAGGCCTTAATAATATATAATCAGAAAGAAGGATGCAAGAGCAGGTCTTTTTATAATAGTCATACTTTTACTTGTGTTAATCTCTATTATTCAAATTATAAATTAATTTAAAATATTGAAGTTTAAATAAAAAAGTTTATTTAAGAAAAAAAAATATTGCTTATCTTGAAGGAAATTGGTGTTTTCTTGTGTTAATACATATAACAAAAGATTAAAAAATTGCTTAAAAAAAAGATGTGAATTCCATTAAATTAGTCAAATGGCTGACAAATTTAACTTTTAAAAACGTTTTCGAAAATATTGTAAATATTCAATTATTAATAAAATTTTATTTTTTGTGATTCTATTGTGATTTCACGCAAATAGAATAAAATTCTATTAGTAATTAAAAATTTAATGCTTTTAAAATTATTTTTAACAATTGAATCTATCAATATTTGATTACTTAAACCGCGAGTTCATATCGTCTTAAGTAGTAATTTATTTATCTTCTTTTTTTTAAGATACTCGCGAATACAATAAATTTCTTTATATACTTAACGTATCCTTTTTTTAAAAAAGGATTTTTTAGAGATTATATTATATAAAACATAATCAATGTAGTCGATTGGCTTCTTCATATTTTCCTGTAAAAATTTGCAAATATTTTAAATGAGTATTATAAATTTCCATATTTAACTATTTAATAATTAAATTTATGGCTCAATTCTGAATAAAAAAATATTTTTTAATCGTGTTAAGAAAAATTCGATAAAGAAGAATGGATTAAAGTAGATTAAAATTTTATCTATCCGAATGCATATTTTAAATAATAAATTTGTTTTTATTTAATTAGATTAAATTGGATTCAACTGAATACAATTGGAGTGAAAAATTGCATTTCCTATTCAGAATTTTGAATTGAGAAGTACGTACGAGGCATAGGAAAGCTGATATTATTTTTAGACCGAAAAACATAATAATATGCTTTAGTCTATTCGTGTAAATGAATAAAAATGCATCCGGATTGAAGAGGATTTATTTTAAAGTTTGCGAAAGCGTATTTCTAAAAATCCGAATTCATTTCAATTCATATTAATCTATTCTGGTTTTCTGAGTATGTACATCTGTTAATGTTTTTCTCATTATGTCGATCTTTACATATGTACAATATAAAACTAACAACTTTTTAAATCTTAAAATAATTATAAAAATTAGCTTAAAGATTGCATTTCTTAAATTAAAATAAGAAGGTTCATTTACATATGTGAATATCTTCATATAATATTTCATTTAATCAATGATGATGTCCAGTTGTAATCAAAGCAGGTAAAAATATTCCTATTACTAAAAATAATATTTCTTTAACTTTAAGCCCGGTTGCAGAAAGTGTTGTACCCTCGACGCTTGGCACATGTGAATAATTACTGCTTCTTGTCATCAATTCTGGCAAAACATGTACAGTCGCTACATAAAGGAATGTTCCAGCACTAAACAACATAGCCAAACCGGTTGCATTGACATTGTTCAGTGTTTCTTTTCCTTCCTAAAGTAACACAAAAATTATAATTAAAATTTATGATTACAAAATTAATCTTATACAACAAGAAGTGATAACGAAAAAAATTAATAACTAAAGAACATAAAAATAATATTTCTATGTATATTAAATATAAATTCTTAAGATACATCGCGCGCGTCGCAGATA